AGGAGGATCGCTTGAGCCCAGGAGTTCGAGGTTGCTGTGAGGTAGGCTAACGCCACAGCACTCTAGCCCAGGTGACAGAGCATGCTTTTTTTCCTGCTTAACTTTATAACTATGAAATTCATGTCTGAAGATGGGTGGAGCCTTAGCACATTCATTTTCCTGTTATCTCATGTTCCATTGCATGGATATACCACCATTTATTTATCCATTCTCCAACCAATGGACCTTAAGTCGCTTCTAAATTTTTATCGTCACACATAATACTTCTATAAATGTTCTTACACACATATGCAAAAGATCATCTGGAGTATATTATAAGGAAAGGAAATGCCAGGCCATGGATTATTGCTGGGTTATGTGCAATTTGACTTTATCAGATATTGACAACTTGTTCTCCAGAGTGGTTTTACTGACTGATTCTTTACTTCCTCTCAAACATTCAGTCATTCATTCAACAAATATTTATTAGCAATCTACTAATTTGCTCTGGGTACTGGTATGCAGCAGTGAAAGTTCCTGCTCTCTTACAGCATCCATTCTCTTGGCAGGACACAGATAATAACAAATAAACAAATGAATATACAATAGGCTTGGAGGTGATAAGGGTCTCATTTCCAGGATCGGTGGGTGCTAAGCACTAGCTCTTCTGCTTGGGTCCTTCTTTACCTACATTTTACATTGCTGTAATGTGTTAGAACATACAGAAAGCTTTGGAATCCGTGTTCTCAGATGACCACAATACCAGACAGTATATAAGGAAGTGGTTAAGTGCTCCTATCTCTGCAGTCAAGCTGCGTAGGATCGAACCTTGGTTTCCTAACTTACTAAACTTGTGACCTTGAACAAGTTACTTAACCTCTCTAACTTTCAGTTTCTATATCAGATAATAGTGCCTGATTCTTAGGGGTATTTATCAGGTGCCCAGTACATTTTTAGCATTTTATATTTACCAGTAATCAATTAATAATAATTGGTTAGACCAATCATGTGATATTATTCCCATTTTATAGATGAGGAAACTGAGGTTCAGAGTGATTAAACAAATTACCCAGCCAGTAAATGCTAGTGCCTCTTAAACCCAGGTCTTCTGATACCAGAGCCAATTATCGACTGCAACATTGTTTGTACATATGAATGTATCACATATTCATCCAAGAATTATTATTATTTTTTTAGAGATGGGATCTCACTGTGTTGCCCAGGATGGAGTGCATGGCTCAATCACAGCTCACTGAAGCCTTCAACTCCTGGGCTCTAGCAATCTTCCCACCTCAGCCTCCTGACTAGCTAGGACTACAGATGTGTGCCACCACACCTGGCTAATTGTTTTTTTTTTAAAAAAGAGACAGGCTTTTATTATGTTGCCCAGGCTAGTCTCGAACTCCTGGCCTCAAGAAATCCTCCTGCCTCAGCCCCCCAAAGTGCTAGGATTACAGGCACCCAGCCTCATCCAACAATTATTTATGGAGCATCTAATATGTGACAGTCACTGTGCTTGGTGCTAGGGAATTCTAAAATAATCCCAATATGGTTAGTCTTCTTCTTCTTTTTTTTTTTGAGACAGAGTCTCACTGTGTTGCCCGGGCTAGAGTGCCGTGGCGTCAGCCTAGCTCACAGCAACCTCAAACTCCTGGGCTCAAGCAATCCTTCTGCCTCAGCCTCCCGAATAGCTGGGACTACAGGCATGTGCCACCATGCCCAGCTAATTTTTTCTATATTTTTTAGTTGTCCAGCTAATTTCTTTCTATTTTTAGCAGAGATGGGGTCTCGCTCTTGCTCAGGCTGGTCTCGAACTTCTGAGCTCAAACGGTCTGCCCTCCTCGGCCTCCCAGAATGCTAGCATTACAGGCGTGAGCCACCACGCCTGGCGGGTTAGTCTTCTTTGAGCAACCCTGAACTTATAAATATCTTGAGACCAGTCCCAGCACTTTGTTTCAGCCAGCATTGGCTGATAATGAATTTTGAAGATTTTACTGATTTTTATGGAGAATAGAGATGAGGATTATATCACATTAGACTATAAACTCCTTAAAGGTAAAGACCATATTTTACTTATCAATATATAACCAGCACTTAGCACTGTGCCTGGCACATACGCATTGAATATTTGACAAATGAACAACAAGCCATACGGACAAATTTAATCCATCTTCCTAAATAGCTTCTCACATGCCCCTCATAAGGCCTTCCCTAGCAACTGCTCCAAAACTGTTGATGAAATTGAGTTAAATTGAATGAATGGTGAAGAATTCTACCTCTTGTGAACTTGATGGACTCTCCCAGGTATTCCTGGCTTTCAATACAGGTAGTTTTCATCTGAAACCAAGTATAGTGAGCTTGAGTTACAAAAACAGGTAAGTCAAAATATTGAATCAGGGAGCCAATAGTTGAGAAAGCAACAGCAACAAAACGTACTCATGGAAAGATGAGGAATGATATAAGACAGTGTATACTGAGTGCCCACTGAGGAGAACTAACTGACAATAAACACTATTGGAGTTCAGAGAAATGAGAAAGTGTGGTCATGTGCCAACCTGACTGAAGAGAATCTATTCCAGGTCTCTACAGAAAAACTGTGAAAACCGAGAAAAACTCTGTCTTGTTATTATATTATGTCTCAGAGAATTTTCTCTGCGTAGCAGCTTGTCAATAGCTTAAGGCCTTGCAGTCATCTTTATGATCCCAGGGTCTGACAGTTCCCAGGAACAGAATACCCTGCAGTGTCTGTGTCCAATGAGGAAGTGGAGGTGGCATCCAGGGACTCAGATTTCCTCATGCCTGGGTCCCCAAGCACTCAGTTTTGGGGACCGACCCCCCTCTCACAAAAGACAAACCTCATTCTTCTCCTGGTCACCCTGACACCTCCCTGTCTGGTTGGTGGAAAAGATATCTACTTAAGTAATTCTCCCTTCACATAAATGTTACAATCCCTGTTCCCTTTACCTCATAACCTCACCCTCAGGCCCTATCCCACAAAACAAAAATATATATATATTTCCTAGAATTTGACAATGCTTCATTTTCTAGATTATTACCTTGCATCTGACCTCCCTACGATAGAGAATTTTCCCCTAGATTTAGGCTGCTGCTTCTTTTTTTCATGCACAATTATTCCTTTAGAGTATCACTGTGGGATTAAGAAAATGGGATATTTAGGAAAGAAAAATCAAGACTTGTGCCTGACTGCTGATTTAAGCACAAGATAGTCCTATTTGGGACAATATGTTAAACCCTTCAAAGCAAAAGAAGTGTACTCCTTACGTCTTAGGGAAACATCACAGTATGTTTCATTTTCTACCAAGCTGAGCAACAAGACCTCCCCTGGTGACACTTGGCATTGGACACTCAAATGCATTTATTTCTTTCTGTAACAGCGTGAGCTTGGCAGAACATTGAGAACCGGAAGCTGAGAAAAAATGCAGTCTTCTAGCTCACAGAAGAGATTCTAAGACGTCCTTGCTAACACAGCATTGCTGAAAGGGCTTGTGTATGAATCAGCCGCAAAAGTTAAGTGGGCTGATGAGATTTGCAGAGTTTATGAGAATTTCTGATGAAGCTGCATGCAAGCGTGCCTATCGGTTATTATATGAGTGTGGTGCTGTCTATAATGTGACTTGTTTGGGTCTTTTTGTTATTGTATGTTATGCTTCACTGAAGCCTGTGTTGCAAATTCTCTTTTTTTCCTTTGCTATCAGAATTCCCCCACTTCGTGATGGAGAATTAAGGCTTTGTGGCAAGAATATTAAATATTCCTTCTAGCTACACAGACAGAAAAGGCTGAAAGACAGTTATTATGTTTTGTTTTGTTTTGTTTTTTTTATGAGACAGAGTCTGGCTCGGTTGCCCTGGCTAGAGTGCCGTGGTGTCAGCCTAGCTCACAGCAACCTCAAACTCCTGGGCTCAAGCAATCCTCTGCCTCAGCCTCCCGAGTAGCTGGGACTACAGGCATGCGCCACCATGCCCGGCTAATTTTTTCTATATATATATTTTTAGTTGTCCAGATAATTTCTTTCTATTTTTTAGTAGAGACGGGGTCTCGCTTTTGCTCAGGCTGGTCTCGAACTCCTGACCTTGAGCGATCCACCCGCCTCGGCCTCCTGGAGTGCTAGGATTTCAGGCATAACCCGCCACGTATTATGTTTTATTAGCATCTGATTTCAGGAACATGATCCCAATTCTCCTGATTTCCTAATCATAGATGCATTTTCATGCTCACCACAGTCTAGCTGGATACTCGCTAAAGTACCCAGGAACCAAGCCAAAAGCAGTGTCAAGGAAACATGGACAATTATGCAGACGGGTTTAGTAAAACTTGTCTGTAGGCTCCCAGTACTCTCCCCGTTCCTAGGCCCAGTACTCCTCTAGAGTTGCCAGATTTAGCAAAGAAATGAATAGGTGCCTGTATTTTATTTCATAATCCTATTAAGGCCTTTAACAGATTTACTTTAGTCCTCTGCCATAAGAGCCTATTTAGGGGGGAAAAAATCTGGTATATTAGTCATCAAATCTTAGAGCACTATTTCTTTAAGTCTGGTCCTGATAATCTACATTAGAATAACTGGGGAATATGAAAAATGAAGACTCCTGAGTCTCACCCTAGACTCCCAGAATCAGAAATTCCCAGGGGGTGGGCCTGGGCATATGCATTTCAAATGTCCTCAGATAATTCTGAGACACACTAAAGCAAAACAATTATTTAATGCCCTCAGTGTCTTCCCTCTCCCAACAGTATATATTTAAAGATTTCTCCCCACTTTTGCACCACTTGTGCAAAAGGTACAGAACCTGGCATTTATGGGAATCTCAGTAAATATTTGTTCTCTGAATCCCTTCTTAAAGGAACTTTGGATTTTGAGAGCAAGAGAGGGGTAGATACCCAAGGCAGGGCAAGGGGGTAGATCATTGCAGACTCAGGATTCGGATTTAGAAAGACTACAGGCCCCAAAATGCAATTTCACTTCCCAAAGACTACCATTCCCAACATGCAGTGCAGCTGAGGAGAGCAAAAGGAAAAACTGCAAGCCTGGCAGGGCTGGAAAGTTTGCCTTCTTGTTACCTCGGACAAAGTAATGATTTATATAAGGCCCCGGAGGATATTTTTTTTCAGGAGTGGTCACTCCCTAAATCCAGGCAAGGAAAGGGAGGAGTCTGACCGAATCACGCCCCTTCTCCAGTAAACTTGGGTCACTGCTAGCTGAGCGGCTGGAGTTTGAAGAGCGGGGAGTAGCTGCACACTCCGAGCCTTCCCCATGGTGTCGGTGGCGAGAGCCGTGTTTGGAGAGCTGCCCTCGGGGGCGGGTACAGTGGAGAAGTTCCAGCTGCAGTCAGAGCTGCTGAGAGTGGACATCATCTCCTGGGGCTGCACGATCACAGCCCTGGAGGTCAAAGACAGGCAGGGGAGAGCCTCAGATGTGGTGCTCGGCTTTGCCGACTTGGAAGGTGGGTTGAACTCTGCCCCGGGCAGCACACACCGCGGATCGATCGTGCCGCTTGCCCTGCGAGGAACCGAGGGGAAAGTCCCCGAGCTTGGGCAGGTCTAACTTGGTGTGCGTAGATCTGTCTAACTCAGGCTTGTGTGGCCATCCAGTGTTTGGAAAAAACCAGAATGAATGGAAATAGCTATAGGACTTGGCTTCTGATTATCTGTTCGGGCTTTGCCTCAATAAAATATAAAAACGTTGATTGAGGGTAAGATGAACTCCAGCGAACCTGCAGCGATCTTTGAATTGCCTGATCCTTTGAGAAGGCAGGAGAGGAAAGAGGAGGCAAGAGTATGTGGCTCCTAGCTCTTCCCTTGTGCCCTAAAAGGTAGAAGGAAAATCAAAGACGAGGGTTGTCCACTTCCTTTTCCTTAATTAGGTTCTCTTCAAGGCCTGGTTGCCTCAAATGCTCCATGAGGTAAGCTCAGTGGGGGCCCAGCACCCCTAGCTGCTCAATAACCATAAACTGAATGAAACGGAGAAACCAACTCAGTTCCCGGAAATGAGGTCTCCTACTAACTAGGATGGGCTTTTATCCCGTGGGACTCCATGGGCAATTAGGATCATGTATTAATTCATGCATTTAAAAACACTGTTAATTCAACGAACTCATTCCACAAGAAAGACAAGGCTCCACTCTCGCGGAGCTTGCGGTTTAGCTGGCGAGACAGGTTTTAACCCAATACTTGAGTAAATAAATAATTACAATTGCAGTTTGATTGCAGCAAAGGAAAATGTATATTGTGCTATCTCTTGGCACTATAGTGTAAATCGACGGAAAACGAGGTTTGAAATAACGTTGGCAAAGGAAAACTGAGAGTAAGTGCCCTCTCTCAGTGGTGGGAGTGTGTACAAATTCTGCCTGAGAGGAGGTTTGAGGTTTTCCTTTTGGTGTGTCATTCTGTCTGTTTGGTTCTTTAGATGTGACACTTGGCTCATGGTTTGGGGTCAACAGAAAACTCTTGAGTTTTGTTTTTTCTCTTAAAAGTCTGAAATTTGCTCCCCGCTTCTTAACAAAATGTATTGTAAGAATAGTCCTGAGGATCCTGTTCTGTGCCTCTGGGTTGTCTTTATCTACCTTGGAGCCTCTTCAGCTTGGCTCCAACAGCAGGATTTCCTTGGTAACTTAAGGGAGTCTGTTATAGGAGGTTCACCGGTAGGAAGGTGCGGGGATGTGGGGGAAAATCAGCACCACTTCCCCTTCCTGTCTGAGTCCCCTCCAACTTCTGGGGAAGTCATCTTCAGAGTCAGAAGGCAAGAGGCTGGCAAATGATTTGATTTCTTTAGTGAATTTTTCTTTCATTTCCTGCATTGTTTTTGTGGTTTCTTTGTGTTGGGTTTCTATTTTCTCGTATATTTCATTGAGCTTCCTTACAATCCATATTTGAAATTTTTTATCAATCATTTCAATATTCTTGTTTTGCTTGGTTTCCATTGGTATAGAGTTACTGTTTTCTTTTGGGGGTGTTCTTTCACTCTGATGTTTCATGTATCCAGAGATCTTTTGCTGATACATTCTCATCTGGAGCAGCTTTTGCTTCTTATTTTTGGATTTTCTTTTGATTAGATAATGGCATGCCCAGTTTAATCTCTGAGACAGTGAGTGGTGCTTGGGGGTGAGACTTAACTACGCCCTGTATGACTGAGTCAGTAAATGCTACAAAGGGTGTGCAAATTGACCTCCCTATCAGTAGGTGGCAGCTTGCCGAAGGAACAAGCTGCAGTGTTGTTTTTGGGTCCCAATCACTGGCTCTAGTCCCTCTGGAGAAGCACTTGATTGCCCCAGGTGGTGGGCGGGGCCCTGGAACTTTAGGTGAGTACTTATTCTATAGCAGAAGTGGGTGAGGGAGTGTGGCTGGGCAGGGCTGGGTTGGGTCAGCTTGCCCTCAGGCTCCATCAAAGCTGGCAAGGTATTTGTTTCAGCAAGGGTCAAAGGTCTTCTCCCAACTTGTAGGCAAAGCTACCAGGGAGGGGCTGTAGTGGCCTCACCCAATCACAAATTTCCCCTCCTTGCCCCTGAGCAATGTGATTGAGACCTGGGAATACAGGATCTGGCCTGTGGGCCTGTCCCAGGATCCCCGAAGATCAGTCCCTGACCATGCCAAGGAGAAGCGTGCTGGTCCTGAGTTGCCCACGGGGTGCCCCAGCAGGTTGATGTCCCTCCACCTCAGGTTGTGCCCCACCCTGATGGAATTGCCAGGCAAGTGGCACCATGGAGGGCCAACGGGCAGGGAGCTCACAGTCTGAGCATCCCTCAATCCGCTGCAGGACCCTTAGAGGAAAGATCTAAGCCCCATTCTCTGTGGAAGCATCAGTGTGGTGGCTTTCTTATCTCTCTCAGCAGCCACGGGCGGGGCAGGAGAAGGGGAGGAAAAGAGTCTGCATGGAGCAAAGCTGGCACTCTGGTCATCTCTGTCCCTCTCTCCAGAAGGCAGCCCACCCAGAACGTCCAGACCCTGGGGTCATGCAGATCCCCCAGGACTCACTGGCCCCTGTGGCTCCCGCAGTCTGGGCCGGAGTTGGGAAATGTGAGATGAAAACCGAGGGGCTGAGGCCCCCCCAGGGAGGACAAAGGTACACAGTGGGTGGGGAAGCAATATGGCTCCTGCCATCTTAGCTCAGGTCTGAGGTGATGGGAAGTGACCCCGAGGGCACCGGCTGCCTGGTGCTTCGTCTTCCACAAGCTCCCAGTTCACTGGCGGCAGCAGCTTTTGGGCTTGAGGGTAGAGGAGCTCTCCAGCAGCTTGGGAGCCCACTCACTGCCAGAGATGTGGGGGAGGGAGACATAAGCTTCTCCACCTACCCTTCTTGCTGGACTGCAAGCCTCTCGGGGGTCGATCTTTGCCAATATCCTGCTCCTTCATGTTTTGCTTCTAATTCTGGGGGATAGAAGTCCAAGATCAAGGTGTCAGTGGGGTTGGTTTCTTCTGAACCTCTCTCCTAGGCTTGCAGATAGATAGCTGTCTTCTCTTCTTCTCTTCTCCCTGTGTCAAGTCTCTCTCTGCCCTGAATGTCTTTTTTTTTTTTTTTTTTTTTGAGACAGAGTCTC